ACAAAAAGCTGTTCCTTGACTAGGACTGATGAAGGAAGTGATCTAAGGCCCTTTCTGGGTATAGCAACATGCTCAAATAACTTGTCATCTCCAGGTGACTGGAGGTCTCCATTTCATACTGGCAGCTAAGATCTGGCCCCGATTATACTTAATTTTGTCACCTCTTTTTCTGGGCTACAAAAACACAACGTATGTGGCCTGAAGCCACCAGTGCAGAGTATTGCGCATGTCTGCTCAGTGACCGGCAGTTCTTCAGAGCTGTTGCTGTCTCTCTTTGCATACTTCTCTTAAAACTGTGTAAACACACAGAAGCTGAATTGCCAGGGTCTAAGCATATATAGAAGTTTTCTGAGAGCTCTGTGATAAAGTTTGGTCAACAGCTTTTCTGCTTAGGCACAATGAAATTCATTCCCAGAGCTAAAGCTCATGAGCACAGAAGGCAAAGCCCTGGGAGGTGAGGCAGTGGTTCAGACGAGCTCACACAGGTAGCGCTCTCACATACATGACAATCTATTCCTCTGAGCACAAGATGCAGATCTCTTTGAGTAGCTTTTCCTAACTAATGTGTGCGTCATGTCTATGGTCCAGAAATAAGACTTTCAGCATAGAAGTTTTCTAAAACAAAAGAAGACATTGTATATGTGGTTTTTCCTGTGTGTTTGCTGTTAGGGCTGGACCCAAAGGAAAACCAGGTATACAAATTAATTTGGAGACTTTTTGTGTATCAGAATGTTAATAGTTAGATCCACAAAATCAGAACCAAATTTTTAGGTTATAGAGTAATCTTGGTTTCCTTATAAAGAACCATTTCTGCATCAAAGTCCCTTCCACTCTGCACAGTGTTGTTATCTATAGCTCTATAAATGATCTTTCTTTAGGTGGCTCTTACGCTTCTGGCATTTGAACATCCTAAAGAAAAAATTGACCCAGTGAGATTGTGTTGTGCACTACCACTGTCTGCAGAAGATGAACAGTTTGAAATTTTCCACATATTTGCAGGAAACCTCTCTCAAGCTTCACTTTGGAAATGTGCGTTATGGTTGCTGTGCCTGATTTTTAAGTATTTGTATTGGATCTAACACACAGTTATTGTGGTATTCATGAGTAGGTTGAGAGTTTGTGAAGAATCTCCATATCTATTTTCAGTATGGACAAGCCTTCACTCTTTCGCTTTTTGACTAGCAGATTGTATGAATACTGAAACGTTAGCACAAAATTTACTTTAAAATGGCATCTAGTGACTGAAAAAATAACATTGCTGGTACCACAATGCAATTACATATTGGAAAAAAAATCAAGGGGAACAATAAGGACACTGTATAGTAATGAAGGAAGAAGAGAAAGGTCTAACGATAATTATGAACCCAAAGAAAGCAAAGATCACCTTCTTAGATATGTAAATTGAAAGCAAAGATAATAAAAGTACAAGTAGTGATAATGGGCTTGTGCATGCAACAGGACTAATATCAGTTTCAGAATCCTTTAGAAAGGATGAAAATGCCTCTCGAGTGCCTTTTTTATTGCAATTATTTTTGACAGTCCAAGTCTTATCACTAATATTTATCTTTAATAATTGGAAAAGAGTGAACATCTGATATTGTCTGGGAAAAAAAGTGTTCTTCAGTGGAGGTAGAGAAAGATTATTCTGCAGAGGACTTTGCAATCTTTAACAATGCGTATTTTCAACATGCTAAAACTGCAGAGCATTTTCACAAAAGATATTGAGAAGCCTAATAACTGTTTCTTGCAAGCTTAATATGTTTTTGGCTTCATTTCTTCCTAGAACAATGGTTATGACTGATAATCTTGTTCATTTTTTCAGGGTTAGTTTAACCTTCAGAGACAAATTCAATTATTTGACAGCAGTATGTTTTCTCATATTTTGGTCCTTATTACTAGAAACTATTGTTATAGAAAAAGAGAGAATTTTTTTTTTTTTTTGGTGGACATTACTGGCATCAGTTGTGAGTTGGAAAAGAGCTGAGAAACCTGATGCACAAAATTGGAAATAATGACCTGCAAAACGTAAGGAAGCGCAGACACTTCAGCATTGTCATCCATAGCTAAAAATGTCGTTATTAAACTGTTCTGGAACTTCACTCCAGTTTAGATATTGGTAACTGAAAATTTAAAATCTGAACATGGATCCCTCATTTAGCTACTAGGTACACCTGACAAGCTGGGGTGTACCCCACACAGGGTACTGGGTTTGGTATATTAAAGTAGCATCTTTTCATTTCAAAACCAGTGCATCCTGGCTGGGAAACACAAATCTGGTATGTGGTCTCAGGAGTAAGTAGATGGAAACATTTGAAAAAGATTTTAAGGTCAGAATTATCTGGGTTTTACTTTATACTTTGAAGCTTAGGAAATTATTTTTATAAGGTATTCTTCCTTGAATTTGTATTTGGGCTTAGATTAAATCCTTTCTCTGTCTTACTCTTGCTCTTGCTCTCTCTTGCACTCTCTCTCTCTCATACACACACACAAAAGTCACTATGTAAGTAATTTCCATTTCAATAAATACAATGAACTTTGAAAGCAGAGTAAGAATTAAAGCACCATCATGATACTGTTAACCATCTCGTATTACCAAATAGGTTTTTATTGGCATAAGATTATTCTATACCAACAATCAAAAGAAACTTGATTTCCCTGAGGTAGTGATGGATGTCTAAATGTCTGTGAGTTAGCTTATGTGTGAGATATTGAAAGATGTATATGTTAGTTATAAGAAACGATCCTGTTCCCCTTACTTGGCTATAAAACTCTTTTTTTTTAAAAAAAAAAATGCAGCTAAAAAATCATGGATAAAAAGAAGCCACAAATAACAGAAATATCTGTTAAAGGTTGCAAGAACTTTTGTTAATTGCAAATCAACTTTTCTGCAAAGCACCTTATCCTTCTGTCTTCAATTCAAATGAGAATGTTGATGCCTGAGTATTAGGCTGGTTATTAATATGCTGAAGACATACATGTCATGCTCTTAAAGACACGGCAACTTCTAACGGTACCGTCGGTTACACTAACTCACCCTCAGCAAGTCTGCCCAAAGTGTAATTCCCCCAGATCTGACCCCAGACACTCACTCCTATTAACCCCCTCTCCACCCTAAGGTTAAGACAGTCAGAATTTATTCAACACAAACTATTTGTCTCTTCAGATCTGTGTATTAATCTGTGCTACAACAACAAATGAAATGCTCCCAAAAGGAAAGGTTCTCAGATCACATCGTTTCCTACACCTCCTTTTAAGAGTCATCAAGCAAACTTCTACAGCAGCTTTGCCTGTG